GGAAGACAGACTGTACAAAGTTTAGTCCCTGGTAACTTTGCTAAATTCCAAATTTAAGAAGGTTAAGAAGAAGGTTTAAGAAGGTATAGTACCAGACGAAAATATCTGCATAGATAAACCGATGTTTAAAATTTCGCCAATATATGAAAGAAAAGAAACATAAATTTGGAATTAAACTCTTTAATTACATTAAAGAAAGTATTCACTCTGCAGCAAAAGAAGCGCTTTGATATTACGAAAAGAAAAACAAAAATACTCCATACTGGTGGGATGAAGAAATAGACACAGCGATAAAACAAAAGAAACAAAAGTAAGAACAATATTTAAGTGCAAAAACAGATACAAATTGGTCTGATTACAAAAACCATTAAGCTAAGGTGAGACAAATGATAAGACAGAAAAAAAATGAATCCTGGGATCAAAACTGTTAAAAATTAAATACGTACATAGGAGGAACTAGAAGTACAGAAAGCTGGAAACTTATTAAATCTCTTAGGATCAACGACAAGAAAAAAGATTTAATCTCACCAATTTCGTTAGAAACATGGGACATATACTTCAGTAAACTGTTACAAGAAGACCGAATGGAATTCAAAATAAAAGAAAGTAACCAAAACATACGCGTTGAAGCATCTCCTATAAGAATCACGAAAAAGGAGGTAAGGGATATCTGTATTTCACTCAAAAACAAAAAAGCGCCCGGACCTGGCAATATACCCTCAGAACTGATAAAATATGGAACTGAAAAACTATATGAGCATTTGACAATACTCTTTCAAAACTGCATAAACACAGTAGAGGTTTCAGCCGAATTTAAAACCTCAACCATTTCAACTGTACATAAAAAGGGAAACAAACAAAATTGCGACAATTACCGTGGAATAGCAGTTACTAGTACCATTAGTAAAATCTATGGGAAAATGATCAAAAATAGAATAGAAAGAGAATACACTGATATGGAGGCAGAAGAACAAGCGGGTTTAAGAGCTGGTAGATCGACCATAGACCACCTTTTTTGTATCACCCAACTTATAGAAAAAAAGGTTGCTGTAGATCAAGAAGTCCACTTTTTGTTTGTTGATCTAAAAAAGGCCTACGATAGCATCCCTCAAAATAAGTTATGGAACACTCTCAGACAAACGAACATCAACTCAAATCTCATAACAGCAGTGGAAAAAACTATATGAGAACGCCAACGCCAAAGTTAAAATAGGAACGAATGTTTCCAAAGGTTTTGTAGTAGACAAAGGACTGAAGCAGGGATGCTGCTTAGCGCCGACACTTTTCAAAATATATCTGGAACAAGCATTAAAACTCTGGAAGCGGAAATGCAGCGGCATGGGTATACAATTAAACAATAACAACCTGTACACTCTATGTTTTGCTGATGATCAAATTGTGATTGCTAACGAATATGACGACCTAGAATACATGACTCGAAAATTAATCGAAGAATACAAAAAATGGGGATTAGAAGTCAACATAGATAAAAAAATGTACATGAACATCGGTGGTAAAGAACAAAATCTAGTTTTAAACGACGGATAACACATTAAGAACAAAAATAAATATTCCTATTTAGGAGTAGAAATCACAGACGACGGCAAATCGATCAGGCTATAAAAAAACGAGACACTCAGGGTAGAAGGGCCATATCTCAACTAAATAGTATTATCTGGGATCAACATATATCCAAAAAATAAACATCGAATATACAACACTATTATAAAGAGCATAGTAATGTATGGAAGTGACGGGTGGCAGTTAAAGGCAACTACTGAAAGAACACTAAAAGCCACGGAGATGGACTACTGGAGACGGGCCGCAGGAAAATCAAAACTCGAAAGAATTAATAACGAACGTATACGAGAGGTTATGGGAGTCACACATACGATTGTCGAAGATATAATAGTACAACAACTAAAGTGGTATGGACATGTGCAGAGAATGCCAGAACATCGTCTGCCCAAACAGATTATAGATTGGTCACCACATGAAAAGAGAAAAAGATGCTGACCCAGAAAGAGCTGGAGAGAAGGAATAGACAGAGAGATCCGAGAGAGAGGTTTAGACGAAGATCTTTGGGAAGATAGAGATGCATGGAGATTGGGCATCGGAAGACGTCGGAGGACGTTTTTAAACCGATTATATATATATATATATATATATATATATATATATATATATATATATATATATATATATATATATATATAAACTCTTTAAGCTATGCTTTAATGGAGGCATACGTCTTACTACAAAATTTATTATGATGCAGACACAATTGATGGCATGTCTGTAGCAACTAAAGTAATATTTGAACTTATGGACGAATGTCTCGATAAAGGAATGACATTTTATACTGACAACTGGTACAGCAGCGTAGAGTTGTGTGAAAAGTTACAAAGCAGACAAACGCACCCAATAGGAACACTACGAAAAAATCGGAAAGGAGGTATTCCGAAAGAACTGCTGGTAAGCAATCTGAAGAGGGGTGAAATTGTAGGAAGAGAAAGAAACGGCATTGTTTATATAGAAAGATAAGCGCGATATCCTGATGCTTACCACCAAACATAAATTAAATTGTATTGATGTTTCAGATAGAATTGAGGTCAAAAAGAAGCTGGAAGCTATTGTGGCTTATAATAATGCAAAAATTTTATTGATGTATCCCACCAATAGTCGTTTTTTTCTACCTCTATTAGACATAGCATTAAATAGTACATAAAGGTGATAGTAGAATTATTTAGCCTCCTCAATAATTGCTCTCCACTCGTCACTCTCCATTGCCTTAGTCCGTCAAGCGCGTATTCCCATATTTCTCATGTATTAATCGATGTTGTCAAGTAACCTTGTTCTGGGCCTTTCTCTTTTTCTCTGACCAATTAGTCTATCAAGAAGCATTTTCTATGTGGGTTATTTTGTTTAATTCGCATTACATGCCCTTTCCACATCAGACGTCCTATCTTGATATGTTTTACGATATCAGATTCCTGGTATATTCTAAGTTGTATCGTCTTCTGATAAGTCCAAAGTTGTATTGTCTTCTCCACATTCCATTGTGTTCCAGTTCCTTCTGAATTCGTAGTATACATCCAACTTTTTCATACGCTGCAATTAGAAACTTAATTCCTCTGTGTTTAGAGCATTCAAAGATATCTCCTTTGTTGTGAATGATGCAAAGTATTCCAATATTCCAATCATTGGAGAGAGATTTCTCTGTTTATATTTCTTTTATAAGCTGTTATAATGCCATTATGGTATCGCGACCATCTTTATATAGTTCAGCTGGTGGTTTCTCTTTCCTCTCGTTTGTTTCCTCTACCTCATCTCTTTCGTTTTCCAGGTTTTTTTCTTTCTCTTTGCTATTAAGTGCCTGGTTAAAGTATTCCCCCTATCCATTTATTTTTTCTTGTCGGTAATAGGTCGCCATTCTGACTTCTGTCTTGTCTTGTGGTTGCCTTGAATTTGTTTCTGTTGATGTTAACTTTCTTATAGAACGCTCTGAATTATTTCTCTCGTTTTGTGTATCCTCTTTTCTTATCTTCTATTTGTTTGGTAATTCTCTACAGTTGTTCTAGTACGTCGGGTAGGAATCTGCCTTTAGGTTTAATTTTTTTTTATTTGTTGTATTCTTGCATTCATCGTCAAACCAATGATTTTTACGGGCACAAATTTCTGTTTCTATTTCATCAGTCACTACTGCATTAATATTTTTCTTTATTCTGGTTCAGTAGGAGTCTATATCTGTCTGGCCTTCTTCATTTACATTTTGATTCCTTAACCTATTGGTGATGTTTTCCAAGTAACGTTTTGCAATTGTCACATTTCTCAGCTTTTGCACATTCCATTTTTTTGTATTCATCTTCTTTTCTTTTCTGGTGTTTGAAATTCTAACCCTCAATGTTGAGATCAATAGGCAATGGTCTGACTCTTTGTTTGCACCTCTAAACCTTCTTCAGTTTATTACGTTTGTTCCATGCATTAAATCTATTAGAATGTAATCAATCTGACTTGTTGTTCTTCAATCCAAAGAGATTCAGATTACCTTGTGTATGTTCTTGTGTTTAAAACAGGTGCTAGCGACTGTCACATTTAGTTTTGCAAGTTTATCAGTAGTAATTTATTATTGCTACTGATGTTGTGTAGGCTATACTTTCCTATCGTGGGCATGAACACTCGCTATCCTCCTATTCTTGCATGCATATCACGTAATAAAGGAATACAATAACGTACCAGCAAAGGATCTAACAGCGAAAAGCGAACCTTTTCGGCGAAAACGGTCTAAATTTAAATACACAATGCAAGTGGAATAAAAATCTCACTGTAAATGAGAATATCGGTCAAGGAGAACTAAAAACTGAAAAAACTATTTCAGTCTTTTAATAGAAAACGTTTCGTGCAGTATTTCTGCACTTCTTCAGTTCTAATGATTGTAAAGTCATATAAAGTTGCCAAACAATGTCAAATGCATAGGTTTAGGTGTTAGAACATACATTAAACATACATTAAAAACTACAATAAAAATACAGTAAAATATATTAAGAGTTTTTTCTAAATCTATACAAACATTAAAAAGTCACAAAAATGTCACAATATGTTAACAAAAAAACAATATAATATGATATAATATTTCTCTTCTATCGCTGATGTACAACATAACAAAACGAGAAGCCAGGAGAAAAAGTATATTGTTTTAATTAAAGCTTAGTAACAATTCAAAATTTTTTTATAAAAATAGATAAATAAAAATAAAGTAAAAATAAATATATATGTATATATAGTTTGGTTAGTGTCAACATTTTGGTAAGTTCGTAAGAAATGTTATAGTATTTGATGGTAAGGAATCTTTTCCCATTTTGCGTAGTTCTGCAAAGCCTGAAATTATGTGGCGAAAGCTTAGCTAAAAATAAAAGACACTTTCATTGAAGCACTTGTTTTTATTGCTCCCTGAGTATTTCACTTTTTACATTGCTCTATACATAATTATTATATTATAGGTGAGACCTCACTTGGACTTAACATTTGAAAACATCTTGTCCCACATTAACACGATATACGTTCTTAAAACAAGAACGGGAGTTATGCAGGTGAATGCATCTCCTGAGTACCGAAGTTTGAGACTCAAGGGTCAAATGTTGTACGTTCCTGAGACCGATCTAATAGTGTTTCTGTGTTATCCCAGTGTGGTGAGTTTGGACGATTTAACAAGGTCAGTATTTACTTATTAATATTTAAAAACATATCCATTGTTTATTTACTTCGTTTTCACACAGCAGATATTTGATTATTCATTATAATATCAAGAAATATCAAACTGTACACAATACTATTTGGAGCTCAAATGAGGTCCACATTATGTTTTATGGTATTTCCACTTTGTTCGATATTCTTTTACATTAACTATTTAAGAGTTGTTGGACATGTATTAGACAATTCCGTACACATATCATTAAATAAATTGTTTTTAAATTTGCACAAAATTGTTAAAACAAAAATTTCATATTAACTTGTATATTTATGTAACAATATGACGTTGGTATTTTTTGTAGAAGAGGACTTTACATCAGTGACATTCCCCTTCATGACGCAACTAGAGATTTAGTACTAATGTCTGAACAGTTCGAAGCTGATTACAAACTAACACGAAATTTGGAATTTCTCACTGATAAACTTCAACAAACCTACAGGGAACTCGATACTGAAAAAATTAAAACTGATAGGTATGTTTGATGTGTAAACTGTTCCATTAAAATCTTGTAAAGTTTATTTTAATATATTTAAAGTGCTCTAACACTAATACTAAAACACAATTAATTAATGATATTTATTAACTTAACCGTAGAATTTATATTTTAGGCTGACTCTCAAATCTAAATTTATTTATATATTTCGTGAATTGCTCCAAGAACTTTGTAGAACATTCTCGGTGCCATTAGAACACCTTGGAATTATCTCTATAATAGTAGCTTCTTCGAACAAACTACGCGAACTTTCGATCAGGGACATAGCAAGGGCTTGGCGTAACAATATCTTAGTATAGCTGTTGTATATTTGGGAAATCTTAAGATGCAACCCATTCCATTCAAAAATTCGTCTAAAAAGAGGCATCAGTCTTTCATGATGGCGCTGTAACATTGTTTCATCTCAAAAATTTCAAAACTTCTATTTTAAATAATTCAGTTTGTTGTGACTGAGATATTTAAGATAGTTCATACAAACTTTCATCATGTTGCTCTTCTTTTTAGATTGTTATATTCGGTGTTACCAATAACAGTAGCCAACGAATTGCGACATAAAAGACCAGTACCTGCAAGAAGATACGAATGTGCCACAATTTTGTTCTCAGGAATTGTTGCATTCTCCGAGTATTGCGCTAGGAACTCAGACTCGAAAGGTGCTATGAAAATTGTTAGGCTGTTGAATGAATTATATACAAAATTCGATGATCTTACTGATTCAACAGTAAATCCCAACATTTATAAGGTAAGTGTAGAGTAATATACTGCTATATCATCAACTGGATATTATTGGAGTTTTTTTTTATTCCTAAACCGTAACTTATATGATACAACGATTGTTCATGCCTTCGATGCCCTAAATCATGATTCTGTCCATCCATCTGTCTTCTTTAATAGCTATATCTCTCATTATATGCCGTACATTTTCTTCCCAGGCAACTGAAGGCCTTTCCCTTTTTTTTTGTGGTATGTAATTTAAAGCTTTCTTTGGCTATCTATTTTTATTCATTCCTTGCTCGTGACCATACCACACTACTTGTCTCGTTTCTCTGTCTACACTGGAATATACAGTATTTGTCCTCCTTCTGATATCTTCATTCCTGATATGATATTTTTGAATACACCACATGCTTTCCTTAGAAAATCCATTTCTACTACTTCTATTCTTTTTCTATCTTTTTTCGTACTCTGCCAAACTTTTGCCCCATAAGTCATAATAGGCTTTACCAAGGTTCGATAAATTGTCAATTTCGTTTCTTGTCTAATATATTTGGACCATAGTAGAGAGTTTAGAATATTTACTGCTATTGTTCCTACTGCGTTTTATTTTCGATAGCAATAGAGACTCCTCTCTTAGCTCTGTTATCTTTACTCACTCCACTGTAGATATGTATATATTCTCTTCATTTCCTTTTCCCTTTCTCTTGGTCTCGGTGAGAATACATATATCTATTGTTCTTTCCGCTAATTCTTTTAATACTTCTGTTTGTTTAATATTGTTCTGAAGCTATTTTCTTGTGGCATTGTAAATTAATTACTATTTATAACTGGGAATAAGCCACAATTAAAGATAAAAAATACGTTTATTGACGTTTCAATTTCCAATTCGGAAATCGTTCTCAAAATACAAACAGTAAATTAAACAAATTTTGTTTTTTTGTTACATAGTGAAAAAATTCTTCTAATAATTTAATTTTATCTGACTCATTTATATTGACAATTCAGACATACATTATGCATTTTAAAGTAGACGACTTTAAAATGATATTGCCAATATTGTTGAGTTGCGCTCCTGGGACGACTTTACTATAAGATAGTTCATTCGATTACATGAAATCAACTTTAACTTGAGAATATCCGTCAGAAAAAATCATAGCATGTAATTTGTCTTTAAAAAGACAAACACATGACATGATGACAGTAAAATTCTCCTGTTAGTGATTCCATAGTAAATTATGAGGGAAAAACCAGGAAAAAAACTTCATAATACTATCCCGACATTGTAAGTATTTGTTCGTGAATTTAGTTTATTGAAATATTGAAAGAGGAAGTTATTAATAAGAAAATACCAGTATTAGTAAGTCAGTAACATATAGAGGATACATCATTTATGTTTTTTAAATAACGTAACATATAAAATCAGAATTTTGATGTTTATTGAAGGTAAACTAAATTCACGAACAAATACTTACAATGTCGGGATAGTATTATGAGGTTTTTTTCCTGGTTTTTCCCTCATAATTTACTATGGAATCACTAACAGGAGAATTTTACTATCATCATGTCATGTGTTTGTCTTTTTAAAGACAAATTACATGCTATGATTTTTTCTGACGGATATTCTCAAGTTAAAGTTGATTTCATGTAATCGAATGAACTATCTTATAGTAAAGTCGTCCCAGGAGCGCAACTCAACAATATTGGCAATATCATTTTAAAGTCGTCTACTTTAAAATGCATAATGTATGTCTGAATTGTCAATATAAATGAGTCAGATAAAATTAAATTATTAGAAGAATTTTTTCACTATGTAACAAAAAAACAAAATTTGTTTAATTTACTGTTTGTATTTTGAGAACGATTTCCGAATTGGAAATTGAAACGTCAATAAACGTATTTTTTATCTTTAATTGTGGCTTATTCCCAGTTATAAATAGTAATTCTGTTTGTTTGATTCTAAGTCCTTGTACATTCCATATAGCCAATATTATTTTCCTTTTCCGTTACATTAGTCGTCTTTGTTTTGATACATCTTTGTATTCCGAGGCTTTTGGTCGAAGTTTTTAGCATTTATTTCTTTTGACAAACGATGAGTTTCTAACCCATCGCCTCAACCCTCCTTCTTTATCCTGACGTGGAACCGGCACCGTCATTTGCTGAGCTACTTAATCCACCCAGCACTTACCAGAGGCGGAGTTTGATAATTTGAAAATTGTTTGATAATATTTTTTATTTTTTTAGTTTCATCAATATTTTTTTTTTGCACATTTTTAACAATTTTTTATTTGAAGGTTGAAACTGTGGGTGATAAATATATGGCTGTCAGTGGGATTCCAGAACCTTGTAGTACTCACGCAAAAAATATCGCTAAATTGGCATTAGATATGATGGACAGGAGTCAAACTGTGTTTTTTGAGGATGAAGCAGTGGTAAGTCACTGAATAGACAAATTACCACTTACATTAATAAAATTGCATGATAAGTACAGTCAAATGTTTAGTTTGAAGACACTGATAGTGGAGTTTCTATTTTTAGAGAATAACAATAGGGCTTCATTGTGGAGAAGTAGTAACAGGCGTTATTGGGCAGAGAATGCCTCGATTTTGTTTATATGGAAACACAGTCAATCTAACCAGCCGAACGGAAACTACTGGACAACCTGGGAAGATAAATGTAACTCAAGATGTATATGAGTAAGTTTTAAAATCAACATTTTTTAATTTTTTATGGAGTTAGTGGAAAGCCCATTGGGGCACCATTTATTTGTCTGTAGAATTGATTTTGGAACATAAAATAAGTGTTGGTTCAAGACTTATCATGCGAAAGCTTTTCTTTCTTATTTTCAGCTTTAAATCCATCTTTAAATTCGTTTTATGTCCGTTGTGAGTTATTCGTTAGTGTCTTTTTCATTTTATGTTACACTGTTTCAATGACATTTAGATCAGGACTGTTAGAAGGCTAAGAAAGAACATTTATATTGTGATTTTCAAACTAGTTGTTTGTGGTTCTTATATATAATTGTTCTTCAAATATAATTGCGTCTTCGTCCATAACATCGCCCCATATCAGTCTTGGTCTATTGCTACTAGGGATTGCGATCCAGCAGCATTTTCAGTCCAGCTGGATTTTTGCAAGATTTATCCCAATTCAATGCAGCGCGAATCCAGCAAAATGTGGAATCAAAATAAAAACACGATTTTAATGTTTTTTTTTATTCATTTATTACTTAAGCTTTTAAATACAAACTAATAAAATAAAAACTCAAAATAAAAATTATATTAGGTGTATATAATCAAAGAACCATCAGTTTGTTAAACCACTTATTGAAAATTTTTCTGAAGGTAATACATGGTCGTATCTACAATAAATGTGAGGAATACCTGGATGACACTCAGTTTGGTTTCCGTAACGGATTTGGAACGAGAGAGGCACTGTTTGGAATGAACGTACTTGCTCAAAGATGTCGTGATATATCTGTAGACATATACTGTTGTTTTATTGACTTTCAAAAAGCATTCGATCGTGTTAAGCACTCTATATTGATCGAAGCTCTAAAAAGACATTGGCTTGGACGGCAGAGATGTTCGAATAATTGCAAATTTATATTGGAATCAAACAACATCAGTTTTAGTAGATGGTGTGGAATCACAAGCTCTCAATATTAAAAGAGGAGTACGGCAGGGATGCCTCTTGCCACCCATGCTTTTTAACGTTTACCCCGAAAGAATTTTCAGAAAAGCACTTTCTGAAAAACAAGAAGGAATACTTGTGAACGGCGAAGTCATCAATAATTTGCGATATGCGGACGATACAGTACTCCTAGCTTCTAGTCAAGAAGATCTGCAAACACTACTTGATAGTGTCGTTGAGAGTTGCAGGGAGGCAGGTCTGGATCTTAACATAAGGAAAACCAAAATACTTGTAATAAGTAAACAACAGAATATAAAACCGTCTATATATGTAAATAATACCAAACTTGAGCAAGTTGATAAAATCGTCTACCTTGGACAGCAATTAAATTGTAATGCAGAAAATCACGGCGAAATTAGATCCAGAATAGAGCAGGCTAGAGCTGCTTTTAGAAGGATGTCCAAGGTGTTATGTAACAGAGACCTAAAATTGGCATTAAGGATCCGCCTACTTCGCTGCTACGTGTTCTCGGTCTTACTTTATGCTGTCGAGTCCTGGACTGTGAATAAAATCTATCTAAATCGCCTTGAGGCTTTCGAAATGTGGTGCTATAGTGGAGAAGAGGTGGAGAAGATTCGTAACTCCACAATACTTGAACGTCTCAGCAAGACCACTGAGATCATAAAAAGCATCAAGCAGAGAAAGCTGGAATATTTCGGACATGTAATGAGAGGTCCCAAATATAGATTGCTACAAAATATCATGCAAGGAAAAATAGCAGGCAAACGCAGTCCAGGACGAAGAAGAACCTCATGGTTGAAGAACTTGCGAGATTGGTATGGTGTAGATACAAGCATGCTATTTAGGGTGGCAGTGAATAAAATTAAAATAGCTATGATGGTAACCAACGTTCTGAAAGGACATGGTACATGAAGAAGAAGAAGAATCAAAGAAGAACGTATAATCAGTCACAATTCGCAATCAATCTTACCTCTCTTTAACTTAAAATGGCTAGAGCAAATGCCATAATTATCATGAGATTAAAAAAATCTTGTTCTCAGTAAGCCGTGGAAGTGAAACACAGGGCTTTGCTTGTATCGGCTGAAAATGAATGAAAATTTTATACAAATGAAGTTATCTGTTGTAAGAGTAGTTCCTTTGAAGCAAATTTCATTGATGGCAATTTTGAGCTGACACAAGTTAAGGAACTTTTGTTCCGTGGCTTACTGAGGACGAGTTTTTTTTGGATATCATGATAAAAATTAGTCTGTATTCTAAATTTCTAAACAACAGTAAAATGGTTTTATTAAGATTTTGGAAGTGAGACCTTAAAAAACATATTCTATGTATCCTCTTATCGCCTAACCTACATCGCACATATCTGTACATATAGCGGGTTGCGGAGAAAGCCCTTTCGGCCTCTAGCCCGAAAAATATAGCCCGGGCTTCGGCCAAAAATATTTTGATAATCCTTTTATTTCTTCGGTCTCATAAACGATCATTTCCTTTTTCAAAATCTTTTCGTAATCTTTTTGAGAACCAGTTTTTTTTTGGTTATAAAAGTTTTCTCTCTCTCGTTTCAGTTCAATCTCAAATTTCATCTCTTGTCGCATTGCATTCTTTTTCGGCATTTAGAAATAACCAGGATTCTTTAGTCCTTCGTCAAACTTTTTTGGATTTTGTAAGTACACTAATGTACCTGTAATTTCTGTTGCGTAGTGCTTCCGATAGCTCGGCACTAAGGCTAGAGTCCTGGCTATTTATTTTTCTAAGACAAATTTCGAGGTTGTGTCGGCCGTTATCAAAGTGGACTTTCTTCTGCAAAGAGCTTATACAGCCAGTTTCACCGGTTGAAGAGTGGCGATCAATTCATTGATTATTAACTACTCACCATAAGAGAATTTTATCGCAGAATCAATATCTATCAACGCTTTATCGATGCAGACTTTTAGCTGTAGAAACGTTCCAGCATACTGAGCAAACTGTTCCAACTGGTGCGGCAGTCACGAATCAAACTTAATTCCTTGCTTTTTTCTTCCTTAGCATATTTTTGCCAGAACATGTCGTCTTTGGTAGGTGATCTACCCGTCAAAGGGTAGGCGTAGGCGGTGCAGTCGAGAGAAAGGCGACGCGATGTTATAGTTCAATGGCACTTGTGGCACACCATACCTGCTAGCGCGATACCATGGCAAGTTGCCGACTCACGGCTTTGAATAAAGAGGTTAATGAAGACATGAAGTAACTCATTCTGAATTTGACACGTTTGCGGATCCAGCATATAAAAAAACGCTGGATCCAGCTGGATTGCTGATAGTGTTTGTCTAGGCTGTTAGTTATTATTTACTCTTCCTCTTTTCCACAGAATCCATCCATTGTCCTTCTTAGAAACTTTCTTTTAAATACTAGCAAATGATATACATATGTTTTGGAGATCGTTCATATTTCTGACCCATATGCTTGCACTGGTAGGATGTGTTTTGTATATTGTAAGATTGTATTTTTAGCTTAAATTTTTGTTCTTTGTTTGTTTAGCCCAAAATAATATTTGCCCACGAAAATATGACAATACAAAAAAGTACAGAACATAACAAGAAAATTAATGAAAAGAAAGAAAAGTCATAAAGTAGGCAATAAAATAAAACTGTTAAATAAATTTGACATTATACTTGAGCTTAATGCTGAGATTTACTGTTATGTACGAATATACTCTGAAAAACACGTACATAAATTGCTACAAAAAGAAATTTATATCCTTATTTTTACAGTTTTTTTTAACAAAAAAATTTATAAGAGTAATTTTTCTAGACTACACTTGTTATGCGCCTTCTCTGTTGAGGTTGGCGATCAATATGGCAAACCTCTCTCTAGTCTGGGCTTGATAAATTAATTCATTTTATCTTGTGTGGGTCCAAACTCCGATGTTTTGTAGCCAAGATATGCCCCTTTTACCTTCAATCTTGCCTTCTAATATTACCTGGACTGCTCAAATTCTCTATGGTGCATTATGCGCTCTAGATATGACGTCTTTCTAATTTTGATAGTATTAACCAGATGAGAGCGTGTTTTCATTACTCTCAGTACTTCTTCATTCGTAGTTCTGCTGGTCCAGCTTCTTCTTAATATTCAGCGGTACATCCACATTTCAAATGAATTTAATTTGTTGACGCCATACTGTTTTATTGTCCAGATCTCATAGCCATATAGTAATAGAGACCACACATAACACTTTATCGGTCTCAATCTTATTGAAACTGATAGCTTGGAGTTACAGAACATTTTACGCATATTTATGAAACCAGATCTTGCTATTTCAATGCGTTTTCTAATTTCTTTAGAGTGGCCTGGTTGACTATGTAGCTCTCTGTCCAGGTATATGAAGCTTTGGCAACTCTGAAGGGTGATACCATTTATTTGTATGTTAGGTGTAACTTGTTCATGGGGATTTTGTGGAATACCAGAATTTTGGTTTTGGAAACGTTAATGTCCAAGCCCAGCCTGTGACTTTCTTCTGATAATAATATGTTCATCAATATGTTTAGTTGGTCTTCTGTTTCTGCTAATACTACGGTGTCATCGGCATATCTTCTATTGTTGATTATATTTCCATTGACTCTGACACCTTTCAGGGCAATCTTCAAAAAAAGCTCTAATTATATGTTCGGCATATACATTATATAATAGGGGGGACAAAATGTACCCTTGACGCACCGTAGTTGATGGGTCCATTCTCTGTTCTAACGCATCCTGTATGGTTCCAGTATGTATTACTTATGATAGAACACATACAGCCGTTTTTGAACTTCAATATACCTTTATGTTAACAGTGTCAATCCCATAATTACTTCTCTAGTGCCTGTACCCTTTCTAAAACCATATTGAGAACGACTTAGGTATTCTTCACACTTATTGTGAATTCGGTTATAAATTATTCGCAGAAAAATCTTGGTGGCATTACACTTGTTATGTAAGAGTACATTATAATCGTTTTTACAAACCTTTACCAATAATAATACCCATACGATGATAAAATAAATATTAAACAAGTTTTACATAATCAATTATTAATTTTAATATCGTTTTCTTTGCCTAAAAAGTGCATGTCCAGTAAAAGTATCACGCCAAATATGGACGGTAAATTAAAGAAAAAATTGTATATTGTTATATCATAAAAACAAAGTCTGTTACGAATATAATAATTGATAAATTATTGCTAATAACGGTTATCTGGCACGTTCTACTAGTGATTGGATATGTTGTTTAAGATTTTGTTTATTTCCTAGTTTCTAATGGTTTTGCTTGAACCATTCGATATGAATTTATTATATATATTATTGATAAATTCGGTATATGTGAATATATACGGTATTTTATTAATATATCGTACAAAGATGCGAGTATGAGGATAGGATTCACGTAGAATTGTATTTTTTAGCATTTTATGTCAAGAAGAAAATTTCGACGAGCAATTCCACTTCGACTACAGAGGCCCAGTGACGATGAAAGGAAAATCAGAGCCCATGGACGTATACCTTCTCACCAGAACCAACACCTAAACAAATATTTAAACGATAAGAATATAGCCAAAGATGGCTTAACTATATGACAGCATTAGCATTCTTCCACTGTTGCAATATCTTCGTTATTTGAAACTGGAGAGTGAAAACCGCAGTCCGGAAAATACACGAGCCATAACGATACCACATTCTATTGCATGTTACTTGTTGTGAATATTTTAATTAATATTTTATTTAAAGCAATAAAATTGATGTACCCGTTGTCTTGTTTGTTTGAATTGTGGGTTATTTAAATCAACAAAATAAAATCCTAATATACGAGGATCTTTGGAAAAGAATTTGATATTTGTTTAAATATGTATTTTAATACTTTTAATATTTTAATATATTACCTTATTTCAATAAATGCAGGAATGGAAAAAAAAACATGACCACTTTAACATATATAAACTAGTTAAAGAAGTGACAGGTCATACAAAACCTTGCAGTTTTAACAGTATTGTGAAGGACAATAAACTAATTACTGATCCCAAAGATCTACTTCAACATTGGAGAAACTACACACAGCAGCTATACTCAGACAACACTAGAAGAAACTTTGAAAGTGAATATAAAAGTGAACCATTCCCCAAAATATTGAAGTCGGAAGTTGTAAGGGAAATCAAACAGATAAAATGGGGAAAAGCACCAAGCCCAGACGACATATACATAGAGGTTCTAACAATGTTGAGTGAAGACAATATAGACGCCTTGGTAGATCTTTTTAATGACATTAATGGGTCTAGTCAAATACCACAGGACTGGCTTCAATCAACAGTTGATGGCAAATCAGAGAAAAGGCCATCGAGAACAATAAACCAGCATATCTATGTTTTATAGACCTGACAAAGTCTTTCGATCGCATCCAAGTCGAAGACATCTTACACCTACTTTATAAAAGAAACATACCAATTAATATTATACAAACCATCGAAAAATGTACCGCCATAATCGAATGCAGGCAAAGATAAATGAAAAACTAACACAATGTATACCAGTACAAAGCGGAGTTAGACAGGGTGACTTGTTAAGCCCACTTCTCGTTAATATAATAATGGACGAAATAATACAAGCAGTACGTAAAGATCATGGCTACAGAATGGGTATTAATCGCCGAAACAGAATACGAGCTCCAAAGATTAACACATATCTTGAATACAACAGCTAAGAAACACAATATGATAATATCAGCAGAAAAAAACAAATGTATGACAACATCTAAATACCTACTATAAACAAAGAAATCCGAAAAGACATACGTCAACATAACATGAGAGAGGTGACAATTGTGATAGAGAAAAATAGAAGTCTGAAAGTTCTAAAACACAACATGTCCACAGGAAAAAAGAACATACATAAGTTAAGAAATAAACAAGACGACATTGTAACTGATAAGGAAGAAATAGTGAAAACAGTGGAAAACTTCTACAGACAACTCTATGAAACAAGTGAATCCGATGAAAGACGCCCCTTAACAAAGATAGAGAATCAAGGCTCAGAATTAATGCCGAACATAACTGTTGACGAAATTAAAAATGCATTTCGGGTGATGAAGAACAATAAATCCCAGGTGAAGACAGGGTAATGACCGAAAGCCTAAAACTAGGAGGAAATAAGCTCTTACTGACAGTTGCTAAACTGTTCAATAAATGTCTGTGTGAAGCGATAACACCGACGCAGTCGAACAACGCAAAAATCATCTTACTTTATAAGAAGGGAGATATCAGCGACCTTAGAAACTACCGCCCCATTAGCTTGTTGTCACAAGTATATAAGCTATTTACAAGAGTTATTACCAACAGGCTAGGAAGTAAGTTGGATTTCTATCAGCCAAGAGAGCAAGCAGGTTTTAGAGCAGGATATGGAACGAATGATCATTTCCAAGTAATTAAGAACTTAATAGAAAAGAGTGTTGAATATAACAAGCCATTAGTCATGATATTTGTTGACTACGAAAAAGCTTTCGACACAATAAGTCATCAAAAGATGCTAAAAGCCTTAACAGAGTACCATATAGATCATCGCTATATAAACATGATAAAATACATCTATCAAAATGGGACAGCAAGCGTGAAACTGGCAGATAAAAAGACCAACGTATTTAAAATAAAACGGGGGGTGCGACAGGGAGACACAATTTCGCCAAAATTGTTTACAACATTATTAGAGCATATGTTTAAGAACGCAAATCTAAGTGAAAAAGGAATTAATGTCAATGGAGAAATGCTTAGTCATTTGAGGTTTGCTGACGATATTATCCTTTTTGCTGACAGAATCGATGATGCAGTATCGCAACTGGAGAAACTATACCTAGCCTCCCTACAAGTTGGATTAAAAATCAACCACACAAAAGCACAAATTATGACAAATCTTGTGTTAAGCGAAAAGATTTCAGTGAATGGCATGCATATTGAAGAAACCACGTCTTATAAGTACTTGGGACATGAGATACGCATAGGAAGAGATAATCAAACGTGCGAACTAAGCCGCCGCATAGGACTCACTTGGATGGCATTCGGCAAGCTGAGCTATGTTCTTAAATCAGAACTGCCTATGTGTTTTAAAAGAAAAGTCTTTAATCAGTGCGTGTTGCCAGTACTTAAATATGGTGCAGAGACGTTAACACCAACCAAGAAAGTAAGAAATAAAATTTGTGTTACCCAAACAGCCATGGAACGATCGATGTTAGGCATTTCCCGTAGGGATCGGATCACGAAGAAGGAAATAAGACGGAGAACAGGAGTGACAGATGCCATAGAAAGAATTACGACCCTTAAGTGGAACTGGGCGGGGCACATAGCTAGAATGTCGGATAACAGATGGACACAGCGAATAATACAGTGGAGACCGAGACAAGAAGCACATCGAAGTAGAGGTCGTCCACCAACAAGATGGTCTGATGACAAAACGGATCGACAAAAATTGGATGCAAACAGCACAAAACAGAAATACATGGAAAAGACTGAGGGAGACCTATATCCAGCAGTGGATAGATCCGGGTTAAATGATGATGATGACGATGAAATATCTACTACGATGTAAATTCCAAATTGATGGGAAAATAATAAAGCAGGAAGCAAAGTTTAGATATCTGGGAATAGATATAACTAGTTACAGACATGTTGAAGAAGAAGTACGACAACAAAGCTTAAAAGTAAGTTAAGCGGCGGATCTCTTAATGACAGAATCTGGAAGAACAAACACCTAAGACAAGACACAAAAACAAGAATCTATAAAGTAGCAATTAGACCTATATTAACATACACGGCGGAGACAAGACCTGACATATCTAAAACGAGACGATTACTAGAAACAACAGAGATGAAAATACTCCGACGAATATCAGAAAAAAGTCTGTTGGAAAGGGAGAGAAGCAAAAACATTAGAAGAGCATGCAATATAGAAGATGGATGGGTGACAAAACGAAACAGGAGTGGAACGAAACTCAGTAGAATGCAGAGGATAGAATAGTACGAATATCACGAGATAAGTCACCAAATGGACAAAGAAGTATTGGCAGACCAAGAAATAGATGGTGTGACAATTTAAACAATTTAGGAGGCTAATATTAAAGAAGAAACAGGCTTTAAAGCCTACATAGAAGAAGGAAGAAGAAGAAAAAGCTTAATTCAATATAAATTGTTAAAAAAATTAAAAACACTGTTAAAAATATGTTTAATGTCCTTCAAAATGTTTTACGAGTTTCAATGGGGGTAATTACAGTTAAGTACCAGCTTTAGCAGTTTTGGATGCACCTGAAACAATTTATAACTTGTAGTAATTAGTTATTCCTTATCTAATGCTGAAATATACTATAAACAATTAATATATCAATACTTAAAAATTTTCCTTAAACTAATGATCTAAATAACACAAATGAACTCTTATCATCATATATCATCATTACGACATCTTCACTCCCAACGAAGTGATTGCCACCTTCTTTGGGATATTCAGATTCATTTGTCGCAGAATCGAAGATTACTAATAGTCTGTCCGTTGATTTCGATTCCATCTTCAGCGTCACTTAAGGCTCTATCGCAAATCGTTTCAAAGTAAAGATTAAAAAGGAGGGGTGACAGAACACAACCCTGTCGTACACCTTTTTCGTACAACATTTGTCTGAGTCTTTCTTTCTTCTCCTATACTACTCCAAGTCTTGTCAACCTGTCTTCATCCATTTTTTTTGTACTAGATTTTTTCCCTGGTTTTTGTTTTGCTTTCTTCGTTGTACCACTTTTTTTGCTGCTATCGAAATGTGACCATTTATTTTTTTCAGGTTTCTCCTATATTGGTATAATATAATATGGTTTAAAAAATATTTTATTGCTTGGTGTCTTTAATTATTTTCATTTTCATATTTTCTTAAACTAGTAAGTGGTCAGAATCTGCATTTGCAACCTGATACGATCTTACATCTTGCATTGTTCTTTTCTACTTTTTTAAAATCAAAATATGATCTATTTATTTGTCCTCATTTGATCATTGTATTAGCCATGTTACCATGTGCTCATTATAAATGTATCTGTTGGTGCTACTAGGTTACAAAGTATTCTCCCATTATTATTCGTTATTGTTTGAAGAGTTTCCTTTGCAGCTATGTCTTTGTTTATGTCTTCCTTTCTATCGTTGTGTAGAAATCTTCTAGTACAATTAATATATTATTCTTGGGTATATTTTCATACATCTCTTCGTCTTCTTCTTCTTCTTATAGTGCCGTGCACTTATAGTGCGTTAGCGAATTATCTTAAGCCAGACAGACTTACGCCTGTCCAGTTTTTTATGTTTCGTAGCCACGACAATTGTTTGCGACCTACTCCTCTCTTGCTTTCAATCTTTTCCTGGATGATTAGTTGAGGGATTGCGTATTTTTTTCCTCTCAGAATATGGGCGAGGTATCCATATTCTGAGAGGAAAATATCTCTTCGCGTTTCTAATAAAAATTGTTTTTGTTTTTGTCTTTCGCATTCTTAGTCGAAGCATATGAATTATTGAATGTTAAATTAGATTTTTTGCGCTAGATTTTATTTGTATAACCTTTTCATATTACCTGGTAATCCACACGACTGAAGTTGTATCTTAATATCTTCTACTGACAATTCTTTGCTTGCCGCTAAATCGTCCAGCATAGTCAGAAAATCCGCAAAAAGAATACCCTTCACCTGAAATTTACTGTACGCCAAACCAGTGTCAGTTCTTGTTAAATCTTTAGAAATAACCCCAGCTTGTTTGAACCAAAAATCTATCTGCTTCAAATGAATGGTTTTAGTAAGCAAATCTTTCTTTTCGTACACCACCTTTTCTGCTTTCGGATCTGAAGCAGCCACTACCGTAGCGACGTCTGGTTCAAAATGGGCGAAGTTTAGGAATTGTATGTCGAGTTTGATGATTTCCCACTGTTGTTCGGAAGGGGCAGCTCTTAAGGGAATTGTTGGGCCAAACTGTCCAGGTGTAGTCATTGTTCTTCAAAAAAAATTATGTACCTGGTGCATTTTTTAAATGTTACCAAAGACAATTTAGTTTTTATAAAAAAAAATTGTAAATATTTGTAATGTTTTCATTCTGCGAACGTTATTTGATAATGACAAATATAAAAATGACTTTTTTCGTGCGTTATTTTTATTTGACCTACAATAGTTGTTCAGCCAGTCACGAGGCATCTAAAATGTCTAAAAAAAGAAGAAGAAAAGCAAATAAAATAAGATAGAATTAAAATATAAAAACACAATATGACACTTAGGGGAAGCGCCCACCAAAGTGACGTGGCACGTGGCAAGTAGCAAGTAGCACGCGTCTAGCATGTTACATAAAATGCATGTAAAATGTAACCAATGCAAAGGAATAATTAGATCGAATGACGTCGCTGTCATTTTGGTGTGCGCTGAATCATTCGTTTTCATTGGTTACATTTTAAGTAACATGCTAGATGCGTGCTACTTGCTACTTGCCACGTGCCACGTCACTTTGGTGGGCGCTCGCACTTAAATAACATCATGACATGAAACATTCACTACAAAGATCGAATTGAAAATTACAAACACCTAGAGTATAGCGTATGGGGAGATAAATATAAGATACTAACTCAAAACTTAAAACCAATACAATTCTAAGAATTGAAAAAAGCTGTAGAAAAGAACTAGCAGAGGGATTATTTCCAAAAGGAGAATTAATTAATTTTAGACCAGTGAAAAGAGAAACGTCCAATAAAGAATTTTCAATTCAATCAAGAAAAAAATTATGGAAGCAGGAAACAGATTAAAATCTAGATAATCATCAGGTCCAGAAAAAAATTCTACCAGAAATTGTCAAATTCGCTATAGAAGGAAAAGCAAAATATATAAAGGAAATTATATACTAAAAAGAAAATATTCCCTGAAAAGGGCGTTTAGACCGATATGTCAACTAAATATATTGGGCGAGATCCTAGAAATACTAATTAAAAATAGATTGAAAAAGAAGTAACAGAAAAAGAAGGAATACCTTAACGCCAATATGGTTTTAGAACAGGTAAATCTGCAAGAACAAATTGCAATAGTTGAATGGAAATAACAGTTACCTGTTGAAACAGCTGAATGGAAATGGCGGCTAGGAATAACTAATTTTTAATCATATCAATTAATTTTGTAAATTGAACAAGATCTGGGACTAACTAGTTTTCATTACCACATTTAATTTGGTAAAATGAACAAGAAGACTGATAAGACAACAATTACTGTTGAGATTGATATGCGGAAGCAGGAATAGCTATAGAAACTCCGTTATATAAAAGAAAAACAAATGTACCTATTATCTACTAAAGTCTAAAGTGAATTTTAAAATGCATATAAGACAAACAATAATTTCTCTTAAAACGTTATTGAACAAAGCATTATACCTATTTTCATTTAATTGCTTTTAATTTTTATGCTTTTACTTTTTTAATACAAATAGTTCATTTATCGATGTTTCTACAAATCGAGCGCGAAATGAAAGCGATTAAGACAATCTATGTCTAATAATTTTATACTTCATTTAATATTTATAATTTTTAAAAGAAAGAATACATAAATGGTATTTGTACAAAAAATTAGTAAAAGTATTTTAAATTAGTTTAAGAATTTGGCTTTTTACACACAATGTAAAAGAGCAGGTCAATTTGAGTAAAATTTCGAAGTTTTTAACTTGAATTTTTTTCAAAAATTTATCTAAACGTATAAAGTTTAGAGAAAACAACCACAAGCTGTGGAAAACAATACATTTTTATCATCGAGCAAAAAACACAAAAGAGGGAATGTAAAGGTAGTGGGGGCAAAATATTTTTAGACATTGGGTGGAATGCATAAAAAGTAGTAGATGCTATTGCTTCAGCAAATAGTATCTGGTTTGTAGCATTTACTTTTACATAAAAGGAGGTGCTTTGTTGAAAAGACCGTACTACACAACCGAAGTACTTGCTACTGACCTGAAGGTTCTACTACTAAACGTAACGCCAGCCGTAGTGCCCTTGTGCGCATCACACCAATCGTATTAGAACTAGTTTTTCATGTGATTTTTCAACTTTTTATAAAGATTTTATATTAATACCTAAATATATATACATATGCAGTAAGCTAAAATAAGTCTTACCTGCCCCCTACTCTCCTACTTTCCCATTTAAAAAATCAAAGTTATGACTGTCACCTGAAGAAAGATTGCTTAAAGTTCGAAAATTGATGCTATAATATACTATGATTATTTTAAAAATCGACCTCTTCGAGTGTTTTGCTTATATACTAAAAATAAATGAGTTAATATGGGGGGTTACACTTATTTCAGCGCACTGTATTAATAAAACTGCACGATTCATGATAATTACCTGAATATTTTACGATAAATATCGTCATTGTATATTCTTCCTGGTTTGTAGATTTTTCTACGACGAACATTCATAAATGCTGCCATTAAACAAACATAACAAAAAACACCTAAGCCGAAGTTGTTTATCTACCAACTTCACCTAAACTGAAGCAAATTCTACTAAACTAGCAAATACTTCAAAAGCGTAGTACATCCTTCTATGTATCTGGTAAATAGTAGTAAATACTACGGAGGAAAGCAAAATGCTTTGTAAGTGTAGCAAGTACTACAAAAATGTAGAATTACTTGAAGCATTAGCAGATACTACGTTTTATGCATTCCACCCCTGAAGTGCGATCTTTAGAGGCCACATTAAACAAGGAAAGAGAGTCTCTCTCCTTGTTTGACATCAAATTTAGTTGGGTTATGTTATTGTTTGTCCCAAATGTCACATGAAATCTTATTTATATTGAAGTTTTTTAACAATTGTGTCGCATTTTAGACTATTACCGTTAATAATTAATTAAAACTTTCTCGTCTAAGACACATTCTGAAAAATATTATATAGCTACTGTTAATAAGTGTCGGAAAATTTAAATTTGGCGCATTCGCATTTCCGGATATGTCCGCCATCAGAGGCCACTTTTTTGGTCTCCTTTTCATCACGATTAGATTCCCTCTTTTGTCTTTTTGCTCGATGATTTTTATACATGGTAAACCCAACATTAACATATATTTGATAGAAGAGATATATTGGATTGACATATAGTATTATTAGCATATATTTAATTGTTGACTCGGATACACTGTAAAACGCTAAAATCCCAAAAATGCTGAAAACCTCGAAAAACACCCGAAAACACGAAAAACGTCAAAAATGACAAAAATGTTGAAAACGCGAAAAACATCGAAAAACTCGAAAATCGGGAAAAATGTTGGAAAACGCGAAAAACACCGAAACATACTGAAAAATACAAAAAAAAGCTAAAATAACGAAAAATGTTGAAAAATACTGAAAAATACTATAACCCAAAATATACCCAAAAATCACGAAAAATGCTGAAAAACGCGAAAAACGCCGAAAAATACTAAAAACACGAAAAATTTTAAAAAGGAGAAAAATACCGAAAAACCCCAAAAGCCACGAAAAATTCTGAAAAACACCGAAAAAACGCTAAAGAGCCAAAATAAAGAGGGAGGCTCGAAAACCGCGAAACATACTAAAAAGCGCAAAAAAAAACACCGACAACCGCTAAATACACGAAAGGTGCTGCAAAACGCGAAAAACACAAAAAATCCTGAAAAACCTGAAAAAACAGAAAAGTTCGAATATCACGAAAAATGCTGAAAAAACGCTAAAAACCCGAAAAAACACGATAAACACTGACATAAGTATTAAATCTTTGTCACCAACTCCATAGCTTTATAGCCCTCTGAGTCACGTTGTGAATCTTGTTTACTATTTTTTTGTGAGTCTTAATTTTTCCGTACCTACAATGTAGCATTTGCAATTCATTAATTTTTTGGTGTATATTGAAATCCCCTCGTATATGTAATATATTGAAATCCCCTCATATATGTTTGAGAAATCGCAGAATATTTTTTAATGTGTTTCAATTTCCGATTCCAAAAGATGTGTACTTTCTTGGCATTTTCTTTTAAGGTTTTATTCGAAGTCGCCTTATAATTTTTGTACGTCGTAGGCACGTCGCACATTGTAGACTCATTTATGGATCCAAGTTTATCCGTCGAATTTGTAGTTTTCTATTTTTGACCACTTTTTTGTGGAAATATGTAGCGGTGAAGAGTGATTTTGTGGCGGTTGATAGCTGCAGTTAAGGGGAGGTTTGAAATGTAGGCGGTAATGAGCAGATGTATTTGGTTAGTCGGAGCTACGATGGTTCCAGTTTTTTAAGAAGCCGAATCAAAGGTGTGTTCCAGTACCCCAACTTTCAATCTTAGATTTGTATTCGTTCTAATTAAGAAGTCCAGTTTACAACTTAATGAGTGATTGTGACATCCAGGTAACTTTTATTGTTTGTTCAAATTTTAAAGTAAAGTCAGACATTTTTTTAAATAAATAATTGCTTTCATTAAAGTTTAAAAAATAGTAATATTAAAACATTGTAAATTTTGGGTTTTGACTTTAGCTGTTATTTTATTTGTTTTCAGTTTTTAAAATTTAATGTTAATATATGACAGCTAGCTTTATTATTTTCGATATTTATTTGTTTTATTTGTTTAAAAAAAAGGTTAACCTCTGAGCGGTAACATTTGTAAATTTTTTGTAGTATCTCCAACTCCTAGACTTTGTAAACGGATTACATGTAAGTTTTTTGTATTTTGCGACTATTGAGGTAATATTTTTTGTATTGTCTTTTTTGAGTATTCGCGTATTCTCAATGTTTTGTAACTGTTTGTGGTAAGATACAATAAATGTTAAATTTTGTTTTCTTAACATTTTGTTTATTTTTTTGAACTAATCCTTTTTGAGGTTTATTTGAAAAAGATATGTTTTTTATGTTTATATAATAATTATTTCCCTAGTTACAACTAGGGCTTGTGGTAGGTATAATTAGGCACCTCAAAGTGGCGCTCTATATTAAATTACTAGAGGTGTTTCCTGTTTCTTTTTGCTTTGTTTATCCCAAGAGATTATTTTAGTAGACCTTTTGTTTCATATTTTTGTAGTTGCCCCAATCCACCCCCTTTTTCTTTTACGTACCTACGACCCCAGCTCTCCTA